GTAAATTGCTCGAAATCAATTTCTCGACAGTAAATTGCTGGAAATCAATTGCTCGAAAAATAATTTCTTGAACTATCAATTGCTCGAAAGGCAGTTTGCTCGAAACCTGTGGTTAAAAAAAACTACATGCGGTTAAAAAAATAAAACCACATTGTTCTAATACTATAAAATAAAATAATACAACTTTGTTGTTGTTACCTGAACAGTTAAAATTAAAGAACGAGTACATTTATATAGAAGGTCTTCTTTTTTTTCTCGAAAGGCAGTTTGCTCGAAACCTGTGATTAAAAAATATAACACGTGCTAAGCATTTCCTATTTTGCACATTTCACATTTCCAGTAAATCTTATTGTTCACTGTTTTGTCCTTAATATATATATATATATATCCAAACACAACTTCTTTCCTTTTTCGCTCTCAACAAAAGTTATGTCCATCACTAGGGTTCGAGATCTCCAAAATTACTGAAATAGAAATAGAAAACAAATATAGAAAAAAAATCAGGACTGCTAAAGTTGAGTGTTGTGGTTCCTTTTATGTCCAGCTCCGTTGACGTGTCATGAGACGGCGCAGTTTATGTGGTGCTTCGAGCTTCGAAATTACTTTGAGCAATCTGCCTTTCGAGCAATTGATAGTTCGAGAAATTATTTTTCTAGCAAGTGATTTCGAGCAATTTACCTAGATTCATAGTATTCGGAGCTCTGTGCCTTGTGAGAAAAGGAATGAATAATTTTAGTAACACTGCCTCAGGTAACATTGACATACAATTTGCCCAGAAGATCGCCTTACTAGGAACATCCCATATACTAAGAAAAGTGCTATCAATTAAATGGGAATTCTCCTACAAGGCCTAAGGACCATAGTTTGGACCCGGCTCTACAGGATACAAAGCAGGAAACATAACATACACAAATAATAATAACAGCAATTTGATAAAGTAGCCTTGAGAATACACTGGCAACTATACAGGAAGTATGACATCGATTGGACAGAGAGGTTATACGAACATCCAATATCGTTAATTGCGAAGAATGAGTAAGTGAATTACCTGTGAGATATGACGATCTTTACCGAAATTTTGGTTGAAATCGTTTCTGTGTATATCTAATTTCTTGGATAAATTATTATGTAGGAGATCTTTGTTATGTAAAATAATAGGTTGTTAAGAAAAAATATGAGTCATCATAGATATTGTCTACGCCGGAGACACTAAAATAGTTGACAAAGAAAAAAGCGGGAAAACTATGATAGTTTAATGTGAGGAGTGTACAAATTGTGGTCGTTGAAGAGAATGGAGTTTATCTCCATTGTTATTGAGGCTCTGGACACCGTAAGTACTGACCTCCCGTAGTGGCTGGAGAATACTGGGGTCAGTGTCAAGATTAGAACACTTGAATTCGTTACTTAAGAATGCTCATATGCTCTGAAGAATTCTTGAATCATTATGAAAATATGCCACCCCCCGGGTCACTGGTTGTGGATAGCTAAAACTTTGATTCTATTTCCAGCAACATCTGCTGTTTTTAAGGATCAAATAATAATAATAATAATAATAATACAAGGACCTGGAGATTGGGATTAAAAGAATGTGGGGAATAAAGACTGAAACTGTACCAATAGTAATCGGAGCACTGGGCTTCGTGAGAAAAGTAATAGACAATTTTTACTAATAGTGTCCCAGCTGTCACCGACGTACAAGTTGTCCGGAAAATCGCTCTACTGGGAACATACTATATACTAAGAAAATTGCTATCAATTAAATGACAATTTTCCTATAGGGCCTAAGGACCATGGTTTGAACCCGGATCTACAGGATACAAAGCAGGAAACATAACATACACAAATAATAATAATAATAATAATAATGATGATAATAATAATAATAATAATAACTGACAGGGAAATAAAAGTCAACAGACCTGATATTATCATAAAAGACAAGAAATTCAGGAAGTGTCTGCTTAGTGACATAGCAGTACCATCTGAGAGAAACACCTACATGAAAATTATCGAGAAATTGTCCAAATACAAGGACCTGAAGATCGAAATTAATAGGATATAGGGAATGAAGACTAAGACTGTACCGATAGTAATCGGAGCACTGGACCCCGTGAGAAAAGTCATAGACAAATTTACTAACAGTGTCCCAGGTAACATCAACATACAATTTGCCCAGAAAAAAACTCTACTAGGAACATCCCATATACTAAGAAAAGTGCTATCAATTAAATGGTAATTCTCCTATAAGGCCTAAGGACCATAGTTTGAACCCGGCACTACAAAGCAGGAAACATAACATACACACACACACAAAAAAAATAATATTAATATTAATAATAATAATAACAACAATTGTTCAAATACAAGGACTTGAAGATTGAGATTAACAGGATGTGAGAAATGAAGGCTGAGAGTGTACCAGTAGTAATCGGAGCACTGATGAGCAGACGGATAATACCTGTCTTACTGTGAAAATATTGGCTTGCATAATAAAATAATACTGAGAAAAAAAAAACCCACTATATATGAGAGAGAACAATAAAAGAACAAGGATCAAGGAAACAGAAAATAAGGATTGATACTGCATTTGAGCTTTTGAAAGTCATAACTGACTGGAAAGCAAGAAGCCGAATGTGAGTTCCACAAGTAAGAAGTGTGAGAAAAGAAAATGACAACATAGAACTTGCGATTACATCTTGTCATTTCAACTGTAAAATGATGAGTCCTTGCCGTCAATATAGTACTGCGCTTGTTCTT